ACGGACGTCTGATGAGACCGACTGGAGCCTGTCTGGGAGCTGCAGACACAAAAAAACCCCCAAAGAAAACAGCTAGCAACCTGACAGAGATGGCGAATTAAACTCTCTCAACAGGCCTATCAAAGGAAAAAATACAAGCACAGTCAACACTATAGCAGGCAAGGTGCCTTTTTTCTTTCAAGTACTCACAGCAGTTAAAAAAAAAGACTAGTCTCCCTGTGTATTGTGAAAAATGAAATGCAAAGGAGTGGCATTGATTTTTTCACTCTGTGTTATGTGTTGCTCATACTGGGCAAGCTGCTACTTAACAATGTAGTGGCCTGTAGTCATCAATTTAAAACGGTTTCAACGATTCAATAAGTCACTGAAGGCTACACGCACAACTACTCAAGATGATGAAAAGTGCTACAGCAGCATGACCAGACCGTTAAATGTAGTCCTGTGGTGTTTTCTAACATTTGCTATTGTGTGGGAATTATCAAAGAGTAATGCTGTTTCTTAAGATCTATAATAGCTATATGTTTACAGTATCAATTGCAACAGTAGATTTTACTCTTTGGCACAGAACAAATAACACTATTTAGACAAATAGAGTTGGGATGCATCATAACATTTTAACCAAATGCATTAAGGCACAGACTGATAGTGTTAGCTAGCATTTTATGGACTGAGTGAATGAAAAATCATCCACTTCTCCATGAAAGAGATCCAACATTCATCTTTGAAATGGAGAGTGTGAAAATGAATTGCTTTCTAGTCTTAAAGGGGACATATTATGAACAACAACAATTGCTTGTGCACATACATTTGGGTACTGTGAGTGTGTACTAACCCACATCCTGTGAAATAGGACAACCCAGTCAGTTATTGTGGGCTGCCAAGATCAGAAAACATGTGGTTCAACAAGCCATTCAGATTTGGTTCCCTTTCCTATGTCACATGCAGGCTATTGAATGGAAGCTGGGTCCGAAGCTTTGGGGTATGACACATGGGCAGTGCAACTGGGGCTGTGATGTTGAAGGGTTACAGCAGACGACGCTAGAATTAAAAGGGCTGGTGTCCTCTCAGGTGTCCTCTCAGGTGCCCTTTAGGTTCGCTCGACCTGATGGAACTTTTTGGATGCGCGCGAGAGGGTGGCCTCCAATATATAATAGGATGTTTTCAAATAGAAACTATTGATTTATGGTCTTTTATTAAAGCTCTTTTCTAGAATTGCAGAATTGTAATTCTCACCCATAAAGTAGCCTACTGCGACACCCCCCACTGCGGACACTTAAGTGAAACCAATCAATCAGCCTCATGTTCTGTGACCGTGCGCCAGCTAGTGAGCCTTTCAGTAAGTGCCGACCAGATTTTACAGTGCATGTGTTGTACCTCAACGATATGACATGATATGGCACAGCAATGTCTCTTTTAAGCCTCCTTGTTAAGTAAATAAGTCAGTAAATAATGTATTTTTTGAACATTTACAAATGTAAACAAGTACAAGTATGAACCTGAAAATGAGCATAATATGTCCCCTTTAAGTTCTGTTGCTATCAGGTTGTAATAATGTGGAAGCTCTCCAACGTCAGTTCCTTATTTTAGCCTGATACCTGGCCGATATCAGAGTATCGGTATCGTTGCAACAAAGTTGTGTGTCATCATATCCCAGATGCAGAGAGACAAGACTTCTCAGTTCCTACACGCCTGAATCAACATATCAGCAGAGTGCTGCCTCTACAACCAACAACAGCGTAAATGAGCGTTTGTTGGGATAATCATCGCCTGGAGAGAATATCTCTACTGCTGGATCTGGCGCTTGAAGCGTAAGAGACAGGTAGAAAAACTCCCGGTGAGCGAGAGCGAGGCAGTTGCGATCTTCCCTGCTTTTCACTGATGCCAGACCCCTCTTAGACTAAATGTTCTCCCTGGCTGCACTCCACTTGATCAATGTCACGGCAGATCCAGATCTCCCTTGTGTCGGTCGTCACACGTACACGCTCGCTGTACGCGGATCCCAAACACAAACATGCACATAACGAGGCTGAGTGAGTGGAGCGTGTGCGGGTCAAGGAGATTGAGATCTCTGTTGCGACAACTGGACAGTTGAGAGGTTCAGATAAACAGCCTACAGTGAGGGGAAGACGGGAGGCCAATTGCATTAAAACAAACACTCACTCGCTATTTGTACACTCCAGTGGACAGGGAGGGAAGAGGGAGGACCTATATCTGTGGGAGAATGAGTCAGTGAACTCACAAAAGCACCATTATCTGCATGTGTTAGCGTGTTTGCATGAGTGTGTGTGTGCGTGTGTGTGTGTAAGCGAAAGACAGTTGGGATGGTGGGGGGTTGCTGTAACGAAAAGGGGTGGGGGCTTCTTTCAGAATACACAGCCGCTGAGCGCATTTGCAGTATTCACTCATTAAGAAATAGGTCAAGGATTCTGCCTGCATGCGTAACGACTTGTCAAAATCTCTCAAGCTAAACTGTGGTGAGTCTGGCTGCCTTAAGGGGGGAATCCAAAGAGGAGCGGGCAGTGTGTGCTGTGTGAGTGCTGGTGGTGACATAGCACACAGAGAGGGAAGGCAGTAACAACTCATTCAGTAGCAAATCATGCAGTTAAAAAAAAAAATTATAATTGTTAGTAATGTCATCATAGTTGTTGAGCGGTACAAGTGGAAGTCACTGAACAGAAAGAGGCTGTGTGCGCCGATTGTGGCCTGATAATTAACTCAGCTCCTCGTTAAGGCTCTTTCCAGTTCATCAACAGAGGACGCTCTCGAGCCACGCGTGCCAATCAGCAGAGTGTGCCGCACATACTGATAGAGGCTCACAATGGCGGCAGTAGCTATGGCGATAGGCAGTCTTGTACAGAGGAGGCTTGAGATGAAATTTCATAGTCAGAGAGTCAACATGAAATGTGTGAGATCCGGCACAATCCTGACTAAAGTATATTTATCTTGTGTTTGAGGACAGCTGAAAACACCCCTATTAAAGGATGCAAGACCTGAGTATTTTCCCCGGGGAGATCAGAAGGACATCAGAAGTCCTAAGGACAGAATACCTCGCTGACCACACAGCTGCAGCGTCAATCCAATTGAAAACATAGATAGCGGCTCCCTACAGAGAGGTGAAGCGGAGAGGCAGTGGCGGGGAAAACATCAACTGTCGCAGCACAAAGCTCAACCTAAGTTTGTCCAGTCCAAGCTATTTCTCTCCAGCTTGGTGAGGTTAACCCCATTAATTGGAAGAATGTGTGATGCTGCAGGTCTCCAAAGGCTTCCTCGGACGGCGTGCCTTCAAAGCCCTCACTTTGAAAATGATTCGTTGAGCAGAACCCTTAAAATCATTCGAAAATACCTCCACGATGTAAAAAGCAAGCGAACGGGCTGTGATTAATTATATTCTGAATAAACTCAGACTATTAACAACAGCTTTGGAAATATTTTTAACAGCAATTGTATGATGTTGTCTTAAAGGGAACGACTTAGCGGTAATAAACTTGTCACATAAGGTTAGCTTCCATAAATGTTGGACATACAGTTTAACTAAAGCAGACCTAACAGAACTGTACCAAACAGCTGCTGAACAGCCAACTGGTCAGAGGGACAGATTGTTCAGCGGCATCACCACACTCTCAGAGAATGTGTTTTTTTCCCCAATTAGCTTGGAGTTAATTAGGTGAATATAATCAGCATGTGATAATCAAACCAATGCTGAGTGCCGGTTTGTTCTTTTAAAGGCAGCAATTTCCACCCTGGTGGCTGCTTTGGGGTCAAACTGCTGTTTCACTTTGAGATGGATATTAAAATAATGATGTGAGCGGGTCACGCTTCACATGCACATAAAGCCTGATCTCACCAAGAAGGAACGGGTTTTGATTGCACGAGCAGAGGGATTAATATGCTACCCGACAGCCGTGGCAGATGCAAGTTATTTTCATGCAAATGGAAGGCAATCTTCTACTTAAGACAACATTTATTTTCTTTAGAGTCATTGTCACGGGTGCCTGCCGGAGCGCTGGCAGTCTGACAGAGAATGAAGATTTGTAGGTGCATCTGCTGAATTGGGACAGATGAGGTCTAGAGCCGATCTGGAATCCTAAATTGATGCCAGTTGGCGAGAATAATTTAGATTGATCGAGGTTTGGTTTTTGTTGCAATTTGGGATTTTTTGGTTTTACCACTTAATAAGAAGAGAACAAATCCAGCATGAAATGTTTAGATGGTGTGAACTCAATGAACTCACCGTGTGAAACTATGTTCACAGTGCATTTGTTTTTATGAGCATACAAATTGAGAAATGGAGCAGTGTTATCGTCAACTCGGACCAGACTCCAGGTTCACTTGTTGCAGTGACAGACAGGTCCTGGTCTGTCGCCTGCCACCAGTCACTATATTACCTCTAAAGGGTTCTAAGTGTAGTCTGAAGGAAGCCCTGAATATAAATCATGTGGACACTATGGAGAATGTCTGTGACGTTTTGCCCTCAAGGTCAACAAATTGAAATCATTAGACACTGTGGTGATTGTAAGACTCCTACACCAACTACTGGTCAACTAACTGCCTTAAATACTCCTGAAGAAGATTTTACAAACAAACCAGAAGCAGCACATCAGCATGAACGATGCTAACTGATAGTATCATCTCTGGAGAACAGATTAGAGCTAAACTCTAATGAATGAGAATAAAGCATAAATGGTAGTACAGGGTCCAGAATAACACCTGTGCGTAAACCCTGCTGTAGCTTAAATGATCGAATATACATATTGTTGTAAACCATATATTTGATGAGCTCACATCATCATCACCATCGTCAAAGTGTAAAATATATATATATATATATGTTTTGAAACAGATTGCTACCTCAACAGAGCCCGAAATGAAAAATGTCTCTGTCTGCAGTGTCGGAAATTAGTCCAAAATGAAACAGCTACGTGGTGGTCTCTCGGGATGTAGACAAATATGTACACACTGTGAAGCACATTTAGCCTTAACGAGCGTTGATCGTCACTCACCTCTTCATTTAAACTGGGTATCCCGGTTATCCTGTTCCCTCCAGCGCGGCTGCTGTCTGTCTTCTGGGTTGTAAACTGATGCGCTGGACTCACATCCACAGTAGGGACAAAAAAAAAAATAATGTTTCCAAAATGCTCTACCTGGACAAAGCCTCGATTTTCGGAGATGCTTTAATAATCTTACATTCACCACTTCTTCCAATTCCTTAAATACATCTGCTTGCGGAGCCTGTTTGCGGCGGTGGCGTCATTCATTCAAGTAAAAAAAAAAAAAAAAAAAAAAAGCCTTCATCACCGCGAGTAATTGCAAATTCAGTGCGTAAACTTCGCGGCAGAGCATTCACCATCTGAACTGACCTCCTAGTGTGACTTTACTAGCGCGTGTCAGTGAAACGGCACATTCCTTCAGTTGGGGATTCAGCGTCCTCCAGGCTGCTCACAACACGCAGGTTCTGTACCAGCCGTGGCCGGGCTTGCCAAGGTGTCCGACGGTGTAAGATTCGCAGCGTAGGATCAGACCCGCAGCGTTGCTTTCTCACGGGGCTCTGCCGGACTGACAGAGATTAGCGGCTCCATCAATGTACAGTACGGTGTGTGTGTGTGTGTGTGTGTGTGTGTGTGCGCGCTGCCTGCCTGCCTGCCACTGGCACACTGCGCGTTTAAACCCAGCCCCCTCACACTCCGGCTCATTATGGTGTTAACTGTTTCCGCCCAAAGAAAAACATGAATAATTAATACATTTTAGAAACATTCGCGCAGAATTCAGAAATGCAGTCATACAAACAACATTTAAGATTATACCAGGAAGACATTTTTTTGAAGCATTTTCTTAAAAAAAAAACCATAACAACATAAAACCACATAGCAATTTGCAATATCCCCGCGAACATGTAACCAAAAAACACAAATACCCAAAAGATGTCAGAAGTTTGTAACGAACTAATTATAATTTACAGTTTGGATAATTCACTGTAGAATAATTCAAACTGATTTCAATTAGCATTCCCTTTGGAAATCTTTATAACCGACTATATCGTTTAGACTATGAATAATGAAAGTAGACAATGGAATTGTGCATCAAATTTATAAAAAGAAAATGTTCTTACCCATCAGAGTTTGTCTGCGCAGCACGCACTGAAGAGTGTCAGTGGCACTCTCCCATCCAACTCTGTTTCTGTTAGAATACTGCCATCTATAGACCAAACTGTGAACATGCTCAGATGCAAGTCTCTCTCTCTCTCTCTCTCTCTCTCTCTCTCTCTCTCTCTCTCTCTCTCGTGTCTGACCTTTAAATCTATGTTACTTGTGCTGCAGAATCCATCAAATTGTATTCATTTCAATGGGAAGGCTTTATTTTTATTACACATATGTATATTTAAATTGCCCATAGGTGTGAATGTGGGCCTGAATAGTTGTGTCAGCCCTGGTGACCTGTCCCTGTGTACCTTTCCTTGGCCCAATGTCAGCCGGGATCAGAGGATAAGCGGGTACAGATAATGGATGGATGGATATATATATATATATATATATATATATATATATATATACAATCCTCATGTTTTATATTACAGTCATTTCTTGACATTGAAGTAGTTATAAAACACACCAACCCCTTTACATCTTTGTCCTTAGTGGGTTATGAGATTATGACAAAAAAAGTAGGCTATCCACATTCTCTGATGCATCAATAATGCAGAGTGGGGAAAAGGGAGCCAGCGTCTGCCATCAGAAGTATTGCAAAACTGCCAGGAGGAAGAAGATGTGGAACAGCTAATATAAGTACACTAAAAGCACAGCGCCCACTTAAAGACAGGGTCAATAGCTGGAGGCTGTCCATATTGGAATGCCACCGCACTACCTTCCAAATGGATCTTAGTCAACCCTCGCAGCAGGGGTAATCAAATACAGACTTTTTCAATCCATTACTAACGGCCCTGTTTGGAGGAGCAAGCTGTGATTTGTTTGATTGGAATATAACTCAATTGATATTGAAAGAGCAGGTCTCTCAGACGTTTTGCCTCGTTTGTGAAGAGAGAACTGATAGATGGTTTGGTTATTACACTGCAAGGCTATCAGTCACAGTTCTAGCTTTAATCATCTTCATATAACCATTTGTAGAAAAAGATAAATGTAATTTGTAAGGACAATAGTTAGCCTTTGAATCATCATATGGAACATTGTAAATTTGATGTCTTTTCAATCATACAAAAATATCATGTGACAGGCTATCCAGCAAGAAAATATTCATATTTGTGTGCCTGTGTATCCTGCTCAGCTCTGTGTCTTTACTCCTTCAAGCACCTTCATTTGATGCAAAGATGCAGCGTTTGCTTATTGATGTGCTCATAACTTACAGATGCACCTCTTGTCACTTACCTCTATTAAAGACCTGTCTCTTACACACAGGCGCAGAGGGCTGTGTCAAGATGCTCCAGGTTCACAGTCTTAGCCTATAACTCAGCCACTTTCAGTCCTGGCACCTTCCCACCCTGCACCTGAAATCAAAGCACACATCATTGGCCATTAGGGTGTTGTCAGATAAGTAAGCCATTGGCCATTTAATATGTTTACATTTGGAATCTGACTTGGTAGAGACTGTTTCTGTGGAGAGGAGTGAGGAAAGCAACTAATGGGATTCAAAGCCCACAGTGGGTTAGAAGGTTAACTGCTGGAATTATGATTGTGTGATGTGCAGTACCTACTGTTTATCTCTGAATGTACGGGGCAGGCTGGGTGCACGCAAAGAGGGGGAGTGACGCTGCGAGGCATGTGTGACGGGAGATAGAGAGGGGTAAATCGTGACAAAGCTTATTTGTTGGAAGATCAGTTCGGTGAGCAAATCAAACAGTGGCTAGGTGGAAGGGTGTGCACAGTGCCGGGAATAGGGATCCAACGGTAACGTGGAGAGATGGCCGACTGCAGGGCTGCCGCTTGACCGTCATACTAAGTTGGAAGGTTTCAAAGGGGCCTCTAGTGATGCCTTTAATTCTTTCTCCCTCTAGCCATATTTGAAGATATCACGAAGGAATGTGGCAACCTGTCGAATCCACTGAAACTCCATTCCATCTCTTCTCTGACCCGTGTAAGCAATCAGCCTGACTGGAGAGAAAAAACAAATACCAGGAAACAATTAAATGAAAAACTAAACTGTCAATCTTATGCATGTGATGCCAATTATTTCTGTTCCGATGTTAAACCACGTCAGTTATTATTGGGAGAACCCTTTTTGGTTCCTGGTAGAACCTTTGTACCAGAAACCCTTGAACCACCATACAGGGTTATGCCTTTAACCATCTGTGTAATGGTTCCACCCAAGACCCTCTCTGGAGGTTCTATCCAGAGACTTTCCACCTTTCTTAGGGTGCTAACAAGAACAATGCAAGACAATAGTCATGTCACTATTCATACCAGACAATGGCGGACAGCTCTGTAACGCCAGTAACGCTTCAATGTAAGTGCAGGTATAAGATTCCCCTTTGCTAGGCGTAATATATACTGTATATTTTTAAAGTTCAGACTTTATGATTCTCAGAAATCATCGTTTAGTCTAATTTTTATTACATATATATGTATACATACACACATACATATATATATATATATATACAGTATATACATATATATATATATATATATATAACTGATCCCATAGGTGTGAATGTGAGCCTGCATAGTTGTCTCAGCCCTGTGATAGTCTGGCGATCTGTCCCTGTGTACCCTGCCTTGGCCCAATGTCAGCTGGGATCAGCGGTAAGCGGTAACGGATAATGGATGGATGGCATTGCATGCATCGCAATCATGTATTATTTTCTCATTTCATCCCGGGGGTAATGACCAGAGTAGATCTATATTTAGTTCTCATTGCAGAGTCCAGAATGTGCAGCGTGTGTCTTGGGACTTGGATGTGTGTGGCATTTGAACCAGGTCCATTACGGAAGTCCACCCCCGCTGCTTACTTCCTACCATCCACCTGTTAGAGCGGGTACCGGATTCACACTCGAATGGCTCTAGGGACTACTGCCATGCAATCAGAAATTGCAGACATACACACTCTTACACACAGAAACCACATTACAGGGGGCCCATTGCATCTGACTCAGCAGTAGGCTTGTGCTACTGGGCGATTGCATCGTATACCCACGATTAAAGTGAGGATCAACCATTGTTAGTTCCTATGCCGATATAAGGCTGATTTTAACTAACTTACTTTCAGAACTAAGATGTTATTAAAAAAAAATCTCGGTGGTGCGGCACGTCAGCCCGCTAAGCCCTGTTAATCAGCAAAAGAGACAAGTGAATATTAAATCCTTAATCACAAACCAGTTTGCCTTTTCTGTTCCATGGATCTGGCACTCCACATCTCTGTTTTCCCTATGCCTTCCATATGCGCTCCATAAGAGTATAGTTAAAGTTATGGGTTATATCGAATATCATCTTTGAATGAGGCTTTTTAAATGAAGCTTTGAATGTCTGTCATCACATTTCATGACATTGTTAGGCTACCCCCCAAAAATGCAGAAATACAATTTTGTGTTATTGTGGTTGTATAAATGTAATTGATGGCGTTGTTAGACCGCTACTAGACTGCTCAGTTAAAAAAGGTGCGTGCCTCACTGCTGCCAGCAGGATACAGTCTTTTGATCCCTGAAATGTATTTTTACAATCAACACTTAAAATGTTGAAGGCACCTGCAAATGACAAGGTAGTAGAAAATGTAAACCATATACATAAAAAATATTTTTGAATGGCTAAACACCACCAAATGTGTATTGAAGCAGAATATTTAGTGTTATTTAGTGAATATTCTTTCTGTAAGTTATTAATAATAATAATGCAAATTTCAACATTATGAATGAATAGAGGAGACATTGCTATTAAATAGATTTTTTTAAATGCTCTTTTATGAATGTTTATTCTTGTAACTTTATGTTTATTACTTGCAAAAAGATTAAAGGTTCTAGTATTTCAAAGCTCCGTTAGCTATCAGCTCGCCTGTTGGCGATCTCAAGTAACCACAATTGGACGATGTGAAAATGAAAACAATCGCCGAACCCTAACCAGCAGCCTACTACCATATGGTGATGATTGGCCAGTTCTCCTGCTCTACACTGAGGAGGAACATTTCACACAGGAAAAAAAATCCAACACCATCATGCCGAGTTCAAGTTTTAGTCAACAAATTGCAACTATTTGCAGGACAGTGGCAGTCATATCAGAGTAATGATCTCAGCGAGAGTATGACGAGGTTTTAATAGCTGCGATTTTGTTTTCCTCTTCAGGGAAAACAACGCACCCTGAAGTTCAAGTGAACATAATGCGTATGATCTGTGGCCCAATTGTACGTCTCTCACTGGAGGCATCTCTTCAGCTTGTCAGGACCTGTCAATGAAAAAAAAACGAAATGAAAATAGCAATTAATTTCCACAGAGATGCAATCACAGGAGATGTGGTAATTGCAAGCTGCTCTGATGTGTTTGCTGAGTGAGGCATTGTGCTAAATGTTTTTTTTTTTTTTTAAATTAAAATTATTTTGTCCTTGCTCGGAGGCATTTCATGAGCTGCAGCCTGGTGCTCTAATCTCACACATCACACTTGTGGCAGCAAATCAGACTCAGATGTCATCAGTATGGAAACATGGCACCTCAAAAATAGCAACAGAGAGCAAGAGAGAGAGAAGAGAGAGAAGAGAGTGGCAAAAGTACAGCTGGTCCAGCTTAACGATGAGGTGAGCAAATCCAAAATGCCTAACAAAATAGGCAGACTCCCAGTTTGTTGTACAGTTTATCCGTCATGCACGCATGCAACCACCAACAGAAACATGAATGCATACCGCTAAACGCACACACACACACACACACACACAGGATGGGAAGAAACAGGCAAGAAAAAGAGCGAAACAGAGAGAAAAAGTCATTTTACAATGCAGAGCACTTCCATTAGATAGGTGGCTGTTTTAATAAGATGCTTATCAGAATATGAATCTCAGGAAATTGCTGGCTATTTAATTTTGCTGGGGCTGCTCACTTTGTCTCAGCTCTTGATAAAGCATTTTGTTTTAATTAGACACA